CCCCAAAACCCCAAAACCCCAAAACCCCGAGAAGGTAGATTTGGATTGATATGTGTAATTATAGAGATTTTGAAGAATAGTTTATATTTGTAATATAAATTTTTAGTAATCGACTCAAACCAAACATGATCTAACAAATGCTCAAAGAACTTTTAATTACTCCAAATACCCCCTATAATCACCCACAACCCCTAAAAACACCCTCCTTACCAAACCTCCCCACATCCAAGCCAACATTTCAAAACTTCAGCCCACAAGAAGCAGGTTTCTTTCTCCCTCCTAATCCCTTTCCAATCCCCTTCCCTATCCCCCTACACCCACCTCACCCCATGACTGCACTGGGCCACTGCCCCTTCACTCTACATGCTCAGATCCTCCTCCTATCAGATCTGTAGAGCAGTGACTAGACTATGTAACTGCGAGGGCCCACCTGGGAAATTAGACTTGGAATAAAATTTTAGCTGAAATAGGGAGAATATTTTACTTATGAAGAAAAATAATTTCATTTAGAAATTAGGCAAGATTTGTATGGGGTTTTGGTCTTTCTTGTTCTTCTCTAATTTTAGTTGGTTTTAAAGGAGTTCTAGTGAAGAGGGGATATGTTGTATTCGAAAGGAGATATAACTGCTTGATTTAGAGTTATTATGAGATACATCAAGAAACAGATTATCAAGTATTCATTAAAAGATTAAGCATAATCTATACTATGATATGCATTTATAAGAGCAAATTAAACTTATTTAAAACATTTATAGCTCAAATTTAGACAGACCAGATTATCCGAAACTATTCTTATATCTTTTGGTTATATTGCTTCTTGAGGATTACCCCAACTTCACTAGAGTAAGTCCTGAAAGTGCGAATTCACAACTGAGATATTATCAAATAATTATTCTTGGTGGCCTAGTTTCCTCCTCATTGGAATTCTGTTTGGATGAACTCTGTCGTTAGGCCGTCTTTGAGTTGTTCAAGGAGGTTGAATAGGAGCATTGCTTCTGCTCATGCTCGCAGACGGGTTGTTAATGTTACGGGAGGGATTTGGACTAGGGTCTTCTTGGTTCTGAGGTGGTCTTTGAGCAGAAGAGGGCTCTTTAGGAGCCACATTTTGCTTTTTCTTCTTGGCTTTTCTTGTTTTTATGTAAACTACTATTGATTTTACTAAGAAAGCAAGGCATATCAGGCTTCCAATAGCTGGAGTCGCCATGAATATTGTGGTGTAATAGCTTTCATAGAACTGAGTCCAAGCTTGTTTTGTATTCAGCCATGATAGTGGGACTGCCAAACTTCAAAACAGTGTCTGGTTAATGACCTCAATGATATTGTCCTGAGGATTCTCGAATGGTCTGACAATGATCAAATAAATTCAATAACCAATGTTTATCAAATAAAAGAAGATGGCTTTCTCATATAAACGAATAGTTTGACCAAATATAAGTAATGACGTCATTGATATTCTCACTAACATAAACAGACTAGAATAGAGTTTTGAAAATTTAGTTGGCTTGATTCCATTGAAGTACTCGATTCATGTCCAATACTTGACTTTATCAATCTGAGGAAATGAGGCTCAGTACATTATAAATGATAAAATAAATAGCACACTTGTTCATATAGCAAACACTATTCACAACCCAAAGGATATCTGAGTCACAGTTGTAGCAAGGTTGAGATTATAAAGCTCAGAGAAGATAGAGAGAGTGGTGAATACAAATGCCTGCATGAATATTCTAATATAGATGTTAAAAGTCAACAGTTTGAATAACTTATTGAAAAATTTCTTACATCTTGTGTGTTTCGAGTTCTCTGTTCATATCTTGCACACAAAAATTCCAAAGTTAATGACTCCAACAAGAATGAGAATGGCAAATAGTGATAAATAATTGACAACTGAGCTCCCGGATCTCATTCCAAGGCTGTTCAAGTATCCGTCAGATTGAGGGTATGACACCCAATTTGTAAGACCTTCAACAAATGGGAGATCCTTAAACTTGATGAAGTCGAATGAGAACATTGCGAACCCCATTCCACTCAAGATGTCTAACACTTTGAGTGAAAAGTAGTCAGGAACCAGAGGCAACAGGACTGCAAGCTGCAGACTGTTCATGATGCTAAAAATTGAGCTGATGGATGATAATGACAGCAAAGATGATGCACTTGCCAGTATGACGCTTGCTGCTACCAAAGCAGCAGCAGCTTCAGTTGCTCCAGTCATGGCAACTATTTTGGAACAAGATTTGTCCTCACCAGAACTCTGATAACTATCTGCTCAGGCTTCTCAAATACTAGGACTGCCTAGTTTTCAGAGTTCACAGTGCTTGATTGATCACTCTTCCACAGTGATTTCAAACTTCTTGTAATGCACTTCGTTGTCGAACGAGATTTGTAGAGAAAAGTAAAAGACATCTTTGGCGTTCAGCTTAGGAGTGGTGTTAAGGTACAATTCTTGATTGTCTGCATCCAACTGCACCCAGTCAGGTATCGCATTGGAACCAGTCTGGGCCAGACTGAAACTGATGCCAGCGTAATTCGCTGACTGAGCTCAGGCCCAGGTGAATTCCAGTTTCACAGAGGAGTTGCTCTGGACAGTCTGGAAGTGATCTTGGTTCCACAAAGCCACATATCTGGTGAACGAAGGATTGGTCGAAGACGTGATGTCAGTGGTCACGATGGATGATGAGGTTGAGATAGTAAGAGTCCTAGTGCTAACGGTGATGCTTGGGCTTGATGTTGTTGATGACACCTGATAGTTAGTGGTAATTGGGCTGAACAGAGGAGTGTCTTCTTCGAACTCTGAAAGCTGTCCAATGTTGTCTGTTGATGATTTTGCAAGGAAGAATGTATAATTGGTGTTAATTCTTCCAGAGTGGTACATTAGCTCTTCGCCTTTATATAGCAACCTTCCGACTGCATAAGCCACTGATCCCACTGATTTGTACTTCTTCACAATTTCAGTGGCCGAAGGGGAGACCAGAATTAGCCTTTTGGTATTTGTAAATGAAGTGCTGCGAATCTGAATGGTAATGAAACCACTGAACTCTTTCATTCAGTAACTATCGAAATATCCACTGTCGTTCCAAATCAGTCCGGAAGTTTGGGGACTCCCATCAGCAACGCTGAGTTTGTGAAAAATAAAGTTGCCATCGTAAAGCACCATTGTGTAGATCCACTCTTCATCTCTGCTCAGTAAGGAGGAGCTGTATCTGCTAGCTCATCCTGAAGTGGGGCAGGCAATGCTCTTCTTCCAGACCAGGCTGGAGGAGGAGAAATTATAGTTCATCAGGTAGTATTGGTCGACTGCTGTGTCAGTAGATCCAAAGAAGAGCAATTCTTCACTGAGTGAAGCTAAGTTGGCCGGCTTGTTGACTCCGAAAGTGAGACAGACAAGATTGGGATTTAACATGTCCCATCTGCAAGTGTGAACGATTGAGCTGATAGTGAAGCTGAAGTAGAAGCCTTTCCTCACTTCCATGTTTGAATTCATATTAACCGAAGCGGAGCTAACTTCCAACTCTCTGGAGATGATCAGGTCTGAAGTCCTTATTTCAAACACTTTTCCTGTAGTCCTGTCTTGAATGTAGATGAAGTTTCTGTTCGGAGAAATGGCGTAGGAATAGTAATGGCAGAAGATATCATAAGTTACCACTTGAACTTTAGCCAGGGCAGGGTCTGACTTGTAGATGATAGTATCATATGAAGAGCCTGAGCCAAACCATCCAATAAAATAGAGTAATTCTTTAGTTTGATCTTCAAAAATATCGAAAAGATAGATCTCCGTAAATCCGCCCATTCCGAAGCTTCCAGAGAGAGGAGATCCTGCTGCCTGAGCATCGTTCTGACATACATTGGCTGTCACAGCTGTGATGAATAAGAAAAAGATGCACATTTGTTTCATTTTGATAATATATAATTTGCAACTATTTATTTAACGTGGGGTTTTGGGGTTTTGGGGTTTTGGGG